ATCCACCTTACATGGTGGGAGAAGGCCCAAGTACAGGATAGGTATAATAAGGATAAAAACAGTGAATTTGCAAGCAACAAAACAGATTTGGATAAAATATGGCTATCGTCCAACGATAAACTTATTCAAAAAATCTACAATTTCCTCTTGAATGACTTCCAACATGAAGATAATATAAAAAACACCATGAGCCTTTGGATGAAAGATCTGGGAATGACTCTTCAAACAGAAGAATGGCAAAAGATTTGGAAGTCGATGAAATTAATGAGGGCAGTAACGTTTAAGGAAAACATTTTCAAGATGTTCCATAGATGGTACTGGACCCCAGAAAAGTTAGCAAAAGCATACAAAACAACGAATAAAAATTGTTGGAGATGCAAAACTAACGTAGGGACATTTATCCACATGTGGTGGAACTGCGAAAAGATATTCAGTTTTTGGAAAAGTGTAAAAAAGTTAATCGGCGAAGTGCTGCACATTGACTTAAAATTATGCCCGGAGACATACTTGTTAAATATAATCCCAAATGAACATAAAGGGAAAAATGTATACATGATAACGTATATGCTCACAGCGGCTAGAATCCTGATTGCTAAGACCTGGAAACAAGAAAAGATTCCTAAAAGCAAGGAGTTAATAGGAAAACTTATGGAGGTTGCAGAAATGGATAAACTAACTGTAATTTTGCAAAGGAAAGATGATACGGTTTTTGAAGAAAGATGGGCAGATTTCTATAAATGGGTAAAAGACAAATCTTTGTAATAGACTCGTCAGGATGTATAAGCTATAAATGTAAAAGATGTACATCTTATGTTGTATCATAAAACCTAAATAAACTGCTTAAAAAAAAAAAAAAAGCAAAGTGCCAACACGGCAATTTAACCTGAATGAGGTTTTACTTTAGAAAAAACAACTCATACATTAACTTAAGATGATCCAAACAAAGTAAGCAAAGCAATGCCAAATGCTTTCGTTTCCTTAAAATTATTTGGCAGAGAATTCGACACTTTAATGATGGTCTGGGCCTGGCTGGGGCGATGGCACGCGTGCCCACAGAGAGGGCTCTGAGTGCCACCTCTGGCCCCCGTGCCATAGGTTCGCCACCACTGCTCTAGGCCAATCCTGCCCTGAGCAGGGGGCCGGACTTGATGGCCTGTAGGGCCCCTTCCCACTCGGTGTGATTCTATGATATGTATTCAGGCGTCCCGATTATCCCCTCCCCAGGGCTTACAGGGATTTGGCGGTGTCTTTGATGGTGGTTTGGATCGGCAGAGCCACACAGCAGAGGAAGGACTGGTCTCCCTTCTTTCCTCTCTCTGTGCAACGCTGCTCTCTCAGCTCTGAGAGAACTTGTGACTGACCCAAGGTTACACCAGCAGCTGCATGTGGAGGAAGAGAAGAAGGGATTGGATTTATATCCCGCCCTTCACTACCTGAAGGAGTCTCAGGGCGGCTTACAGTCTCCTTTCCCTTCCCCTCCCCACAACAGACACCCTGTGAGGCACGTGGGGCTGAGAGAGCTCTTTCTAGAGCTGTCCTTGAGAGAACAGCTCTGAGAGAACTTGTGACTGACCCAAGGTCACACCAGCAGCTGCATGTGGAGGAAGAGAAGAAGGGATTGGATTTATACCCCGCCCTTCACTTCCCGAAGGAGTCTCAGGGCGGCTTACAATACCCTTTCCCTTCCCCTCCCCACAACAGACACCCTGTGATGCACGTGGGGCTGAGAGAGCTCTCCCGAGAGCTGCCCTTGAGAGAACAGCTCTGAGAGAACTTGTGGCTGACCCAAGGTCACACCAGCTGGCTGCATGTAGAGGAGTGGGGAATCAAACCCGGTGCTCCCAGATTAGAGTCTGCGCTCCTAACCACGACACCAAACTGGCTTGATTTGTTTTCTTTTCAAGATCCATCTGCCACACACCTTCTGGGGGGGAGGACACGGATAATGATTTCATCAGTCAAAGTAAAAGGAAATCGAGCCCCCCGCCCCCTGGAACCTACCCGGCAGTGTCCGATCACGGAAGAAGGAGCCCATTTCTACGCTTTTGGCTGTTGCTTCGGCTCCGCAGTCTGGAGGGAAATTCCTGTACGGTGGAAGAAAAGAGATTTCCTTGAAGGGCTGAAACAATCGAGCCCATCTGGAAGGGGCAGATATCTTCAGGCATTTTTTTTTCAGAGTGAGGAGGAGGAGGAGGGTCCATCCACCGAGAAATCTGGCAGGTTAGGGAAGGAGAGTCTGCAATGCACACGCTCCTACTGTTTGGCCGGGACAGTTCCTGTTTTTTAGATTCATGTCCAATAGGAGGTCTGTTTGACTGCTGAACAAAGTTGGAGTCCAGTGGCACCTTTATATGCACATGCCATTAAATGCCCACAGTGCCCTTCGGTTCTCTACATAGGGCAAACAGGGCAAACCCTACGCCAAAGGATACATGGACACAAATGTGACATCAAGAGTCACAAAACTGAGAAACCTGTAGGAGAGTATTTCAGCCTCCCAGGACATGCAGTGTTGCAAATTGTCTTATTGCAACTGAATTTCAGAAACAGACTGGAATGGGGGACTGCTGAGTTACAAGTTATTACAGCACTCAGGACAACGGGACCCCCAGGGCTTAACAGAGATATCGGGCTCTTATCTCGCTACACAGGCTAAGTCACTCAGTTCTCGCATCTGTTTGTTAGCTCTTTTATTATCTGTGTGCTAATTTGCTGCTATTCATAGGTTTTACCAACTTCTTTAATCCAGTCTTAGCTATACTTATTACTCAGCTATTTATAAATCTTGGCTCCAATTAGTCCTTCCTGGCAACTAACCCCCCTGCTCTATCTATATGTAATGGTTGGTGAAGTCTGTTTCAATGTATCTGACGAAGTGCGCTTGCACACAAAAGCTTTTACCCAGAATTAAACTTTGTTGGTCTTAAAGGTGTCACTGGACTCAAACTGTGTTCTGCTGCGTCAGACCAACACACTACGCACCTGTTTTACTGTGGACCAACATGGCTACTTTCTGAAACCATCCCTATTTTTATTTATTTTGTTTAATTTATTTGTTAAAAAGCACACTTCTCCTTTCTGCCTTTTGGAGAAACTTCAGTAAAAAAAAAATGTAATTTAGGGTTTGAGACTTGCCATCATTCTTCGAAGTTCTGCTCCCTCTCCCAAAGTCCCTCTAGAAGGGAGCTCTCAGAGAGTACTGATCCACCAAGTGCCGTTGCGTGAGCATGAACGCCAAGGAGCATTGTTAACACTCCCAGGCAGTGTTCCCTCTAAGCTGAGTTAGTGTGAGCTAGCTCACAGCTTTTTAGCCTCCGGCTTACACATTTTTGTCTTAGCTCGGGAAGGAGGGCTCCAGAGCAAACTAATTTATGCAGTAGCCAAATAGCTCGCTCACAACTTTAATGCCAGTAGCTCAGAAAGTAGAATCTTTGCTCACAAGACTCCACAGCTTAGAGGGAACATTGCGTCCCAGGCCATTTCGGCATTTCTAAGTGCATCTTTTATTAAAAGAGCCAAACTCTTTCTGGCTTTGAGAAGACTGGCAGTCGAAGAACATGTCAGAAACCCAGAGGAACGTGGCAGAGACCAAGAAGTGATTGGAATACTGACCGCGTGGAAGTGCCTGGGACGGGTCGGCCGGTGTCCACCCGCACGCACCAGCAGTACCCCGTCGCCTGGTGGCACTGCACCATCTTGTACGTGCCGTCGCCCTCACATTCTGGGATGAAGGTGCCCTCCTGTTGGTGCTGCTGGGCCTCCTCAATGGCTTCGCGCCGCTCCTGCTCGCACGACGGCGGGTATTCTGCAGGGAGTGCAGCTGCCGGCCAGTGAGAACGAACAAGGCCAAACCACCACCCGCCACCCCTGCCCGGTTGTAGCCAGGGCTCTTTTTGTAGAAAAAGCCCAGCAGGAACTTATTAGCATAATAGGCCACACCCAACATCAGAAACTCATTAGCATATTAGGCCACACCCCTGACAGCACAGCTCATTAGCCCATTAGGCCGCACCCCCATGTTCCCAGAAGTGTGGTTATCCAGCCACACCCACCTTTTGCTTGTTATTCTGTTTACCTTGTTTGTTGTCAAAACCCAGGGCCTTTTTTTGTAGCAGGAACTCCTTTGCATGTTAGGCCACACACCCCTAATTGTAGCCAATCCTAATGAGTTCCTGCTGTTGGGTGTGGCCTATTATGCTAATGAGTTCCTGCTGGGCGTGGCCAACTTGGGAGCCAGCCGGAACTCCGTTCCTGTGCGTTCCTGCCCCAAAATAGCCCTGGTTGTAGCCCTGCAGCCTTTTGCTGCGTTCAGGCCTTCAGAATATCAACGCAGGCCTCCTCTCTGGGGCCTTTGCTGGAGCTGGTAGCCTTCGAAGCTTCCTTAGGGTGGACTGAGAATTGGGAGATGCTCCCTCGAGTTAGCATCCACGGCCCTTCACGGCTGGTGCCTCCTAGCTACCAAAGAACGTACCCTGTCTGTACCCTGTCTGGTTCCTGTCTGTACCTTGTGGCTAAGAGCCACTGATGGAACCTCTGCTCCGTATGTTTATTCAAGTTCTGCAAGCTCTCACCTTGGATCTGTTTCGCCGTGCGGTTGGGCTTGAAATCTGGGATGATGACGGGGATTAGGAAAGGCAGGGAGGTCCCCTCTGGAGGGTGTGGAAAGACAAGACAAGACAGACGGGCACACAAAGATACAGACAATAGGCAACGGAGAACCAGCGTGGGTCTCGGGAGCCGTTTCGCGTCACCCAGCCGAAAGACGCTGCCACCACCTGCCCTGCGCCAGCGCCCCACACTAATGCAACAGCGGCCATCCGCGGACTCTCCAAGACTGGAATGCATCCGTCCCCAAACTGTGCGAGACCCCCTCTTTGCCCACTAGAGGGCAATCCTCCTCCAGAGACACGGACCCAGCCTCTTACTACAAGTGGAAGGCTGTCCTCAAAAAATCCAGGGCTCAGACCCAGAATCTCTTTCCACCGGCAGGGAAGTGGTTATAAAACAAGAGTGCGCACAAGCATGTGCAGAAACAACTGCCTCTCAAGACCAATGAGGGTGCTTTCACACACACTAAACAGCGCACCTTCGATCCACTTCCAATGCACTTTGCAGCCGGATTCTACTGCGTGAGACGGCAACAGCCACTTGCAAACGGTCGCCGAAGTGGGCTGAAACGGCATCATTCAGCATGTGTGGAAGCGCCGAAATAAGCACAAGTGTTTGCTGTGCTTCTTGTGGGCCCAAGCGTGGAGCTTCCGGGCAGGGTCTTGAGCCCCCCCCCCCGCGCCTCTCTTTTTTAGAAGCCTGTTTTTTCCCAGGATACCCTTTGACCCCACAGAGTTTGTGAATGGCAGCTGCCTCTCTTCCCCACAAGCCAAACGTTGCATGCCAAGAGACTCCCAAGAAACGCAAGATTCCAGTCCAAGCTGGCCACCCTGAGAGCGAGGGACCATGCCAACCGTTTCCTAACCGGCATGCCCTTTCTCTCTTTCACACATAGACACACGAGTCTGTATTTGTGTGGGTTGTTCCCTGTTCCCTAAAAGCTCTGTGACTAATAGATCTCCCCATCTCACAGGGCTGCTGTTGATGAATCGGTACCATTAACAGATTCTAATTGGCTTCAGATATGCTTCCCTCCTGATTAATTGGACAACACTTGGGGGGGGGGATATTTCCAGTATTTATACGAGCTGTAGATCTTTATAAGCTGAGCTCCTGCATTTGGCTTCTCCAGGGACTCAGGCAGAGAAGGATCCCCCCCCCCCATGCCTGCTACTTGAGATCTTTTAACTGCAGACTGAACCGGCAACCTTCTGCATGCAAAGCTCGTGGTCTGCCACGGAGCCACATAGATGCCCCCGGAACTAAACGTGTAAAACTGTGTCATGCAGGTCCAGAACGTTTATTTATTTATTTTATTAGATTTATTTTATTAGATTAGCTGTGGTGGCTCAAGTGGTTAAGACGCTGAACAGCAGGCTGTGGAAGGTCGGTCGTTCAGCAGTTCGAGACCCGAGTGTGCCGCATGACGGAGTGAGCTCCCGTCTCTAGTTACAGCTCCTGCCAACCTAGCAGTTTGAAAGCAAGAAATTGCAAGTAGATAAATAGGTACCGCTTTGGTGGGAAGGGAACAGTGTTCCGTGCACCTCGGCGTCTAGTCGTGCCGGCCACATGACCATGGAAACGTCTTCGGACAGTGCTGGCTCTTCGGCTTGGAAACGGAGATGAGCACCGCAACCCTAGAGTCGGACTCGACTGGCTTTCGAGCAAGGGAACCTTTACCTTTACCTTACCCCCCAATGGGCTCAGCGCGGTGTACAACATATTAAATATACAATTAAAACAGTATTAAAATAAAAATGTACATGTAAAATCGTAAAATACCGTGTGACTATAAAAGTTGTCAGGCGACTAGTCAGAATCAGGCCACTGGTGGACAAATGGCCGAGAAAGCTGGACAGAAAAAGTTAGGGCCAAAGAAGCTGGAGGGGGGGAGAGGGGGATGTCCGCTACCTCAACCAAATGCCCGGCGGAAGAGCTCCGTCTTTCAGGCAGTGTTCCCTCTAAGCTGAGTTCGTGTGAGCTAGCTCACAGTTTTTTAGCCTCCGGCTCACACATTGTTATCTCAGCTCAGGAAGGAGGGCTCCAGAGCAAACTCATTTATGCAGGAGCCAAATCGCTTGCTCACAACTTTCATGCCAGGAGCTTACAAAGTAGAATCTTTGCTCCCAAGACTCCACGGCTTAGAGGGAGCATTGGGGACCTTCTACATGCCAAGCAGGCGCTCTGAGCCTGGGACCTTCTACATGCCAAGCAGGCGCTCTGAGCCCGGGACCTTCTACATGCCAAGCAGGCACTCTGAGTCTGGGACCTTCTACATGCCAAGCAGGCGCTCTGAGCCTGGGACCTTCTACATGCCAAGCAGGCACTCTGAGTCTGGGACCTTCTACATGCCAAGCAGGCGCTCTGAGCCCGGGACCTTCTACATGCCAAGCAGGCACTCTGAGTCCGGGACCTTCTACATGCCAAGCAGGCGCTCTGAGCCCGGGACCTTCTACATGCCAAGCAGGTGCTCTGAGCCCAGGACCTTCTACATGCCAAGCAGGCGCTCTGAACCCAGGACCTTCTGCATGCCAAGCAGGTGCTCTGAACCCGGGACCTTCTACATGCCAAGCAGGCGCTCTGAGTCTGGGACCTTCTACATGCCAAGCAGGCGCTCTGAGCCTGGGACCTTCTACATGCCAAGCAGGCGCTCTACCACTGAACCTGACAGCCTGTTCCTGTCTGGCCGCGCTGCAAACACAGGCCTGGATCATCAAAGAAGAAAAGGTTTGCACTCTGAGAATTGGGAAAAGGTTTCCCGCACATCATCTTGACACAGCCCTTACAGCAGTCCTGCGAGGTAGGCCAGCACTATTATTTCAGAGGGGGTAAAGAAGGCGGAGTGGCTTAATGAAGGTTATGTTTGGGGGAAGTGCGTGCGGCCGAGGGTTGAGCCAGGGCACCTTCAAAATCATAGCCATTCTCTCTTAGCCCACTCCCTTAAAACACAACACCTGACAGGTACACATTGACCGAGCCAATCATGTGATGAATCAGCTTTCTTTATTAATGGTTTTATTGACTGAAGGGATAGCTGTAGGTTTTGGTAAGTTGCATATTAAACCTTTCCATATTTTATGGCAAAAAAGAAAATAAAAGGAATCGGAACAGACACCGAAAACACCCGAGTGCGGACCACGATGCTCACAAGGCTAGGTGCGTGCAGGTAGGGCGAAGGGGAAAGGACACTTACCTTCCTGTTTATGGGGCAGGGGGATTGGCTGGGTGGGCCGTGGCCTGGAACCTTCTTCTGCGTTCAGGGAGGAAAAGAGTTCGAAGGAAACTATTACAAAGGTTTTCGTGTCACCTACTCTGTCCAAAGAGGGGATGCGTTCACAACTACAGGACGACTTTTGCGTCTTCAGGGCGTTACCACAGCTATTATTTTCCCTGACAGAGGGGCTGTGAGCTGGACAGCCAGGAATTCAACAGCTGGAAACTTCCCCTACCATGGGGGGGGGGGCAGCTGGACCTGTTGAATGCAGTTATCACAGCACTTTAAGGACGTGAGCACCTCAGAGGAGCCCTGCTGGATCAGACCAGTGAGGGTCCGTCTAGTCCAGCATCCTGTCTCACACAG